GCAAATATATATATATATATATATATATATATATATATATATATATATATATATATATATATATATATATATATATGAATTTATTTTTTCAAGTCAACAATATACAAAACATCTAATTACAATTAATTAAAAATTATTAAAATTAGTTTTATTTTTTAAAAAATTTATTAAAAAATTATTTTAAATTTTATTTACATATTTTAAAAAAATATTCACTTTACATATGCGTGCAAAACTAAGTCCTTAAAATTAAATTAAAGCTTTTTTCATAAATTTTAAATTAAAAAAAAACGTAATTATATAATTCGATCAATAATAATAATTTTTTTTTTTTTTTTACAGACTATTTGACTGTGATACAAACGATATTTCTAATAATAAGTTTTTTCTATGCATTAAAAAACTAACAATCATTTTTTTTTTCATACGAGGACATTTTAAATTTAATAATTAAACACTAGGATTAATTTTAACTACATTTTTTAAATTTTTTCTTCCGAATGATTTACTAAAATATCTTCAACACTTTGACATTTCTTATAAACTTGTGTTAAAATATTTAAATCATAACATTCACTAATTTTGACCAAAATAAAATTTAACAATTTATTCGTTTTTATTTTTAACTCTGTCAGTTCAGTGGAATTTTTCTTATGGGGTCTTTTTATTTTAAGACCATCTCGCCTCAAATGATTGTATATTGTTTTTTGATTAGGATAAAATGCTGAATTGTCTCTGGACGGTTTGATTGGATCATTTTCAAATTCTTGATCGACTATTTGGTAAAGTTTTTTTTGAATTGATTCAACTGATGTGATGCCACAACGTAAGACATAATGCATTGCAGCTTTAACTTCATCATTTAAATATTGTCCTTTTACTTGAGGGGGATGACAGTGAATTTTTGGTAGGGAAATAACGACACAATATTTTATTTCTCCTTCAGGAGGATGTTTCGAATACAAGCTACGTCTAAACGTTTTCAACATCTGTAATGGGTAAATCAAATATAAATTTTAAAAAAAATTATTTTCTTATTGCCATATTAGTAATAAATTAGCTAAAATTGAATTACTTCAATACGCTGTCTTCTTGAAGATGCTAGTGAAACTTTTGAAAATATTTCAACTTGTCTAATATCTAAAATTGCTTTACAACTTGAAACTTGTCTGGGTTGTGTATGTTTTTCCATATTATTTTTTCTTTTCTGTAACCCCAAAATTTCAATAACATTATTGCGATAAGTTTATCACTATAGATATACATATAAAATTACATAATATAATTTAATATAATAAAAAATAACACAGTATAATGTTATAAGACTACCTCTTTGTGAGAACAGTAATATCGTGCATGACTTAAAACCCTGTATGGATGACTACAAAGAGGAAATTTTTTATTTATTATCATTAGCTTACAACCTGCGAATAAAAATTTCAATTAATATAAAATTAATACTATACATTATTTAACATTAACCCTTATTTATTAAGAGCTTACACTTTTTATCAATTTTCTTTTCGGATGTTCTAATTGAAAAAAAATAACCTAATACTTTTAGATTTTTAATTAATTTTTGTACGTCTTCTTCGCATTTAATAGTTCCTTTAGCTTTAGATTCAATTATAATGGGTTCGTTTTCAAATGTCATTCTTAATACTTGAAGAAAACGACATAATTCAGTACTTTCTCGTTCTCTTCGTTTAAAATCATCATCGTTTTCTCCAATTTTTTCAACAGTTTTCGATGATTCCATAAGCCATTCAATATTTTCGTCATCGTTAAAATCCATTTTAATTATAAATTAAATTAAATTAATATTGAACTAGAAAAATGAATTTTTTTCTTAAAGATGTTTGTTTATGTTTTAAAACTGGTTTGACAAGTATCCAAAAACAATCAGTGGTACCAATAGTAAAAACATAATCTTTATTTTAGCGCTTTTTTTTAATAGTAATTTTTATGTGCGTTTTATTTAAATTATTATATTATTAAAAACTTATGGAATAATTATAAAAAAATATAATTTTGACGAATTTTATATTAAGAATAAAAAAAACAATTTTTAAGTTTTATATATGTTGAATTTTTAATTGCAAAATTATAGTAATTATAAAAAAAAATTTGAATTATGTTTAATTAAATTAAACGAAATAGATTTAAAATAATTTTAAAAATTTACAATCGGTGAAATGAATAAAACGAAAAAAAAAAAAAAAAAAAAGAAATTAATAAATTAAAAATGTTTTAGTAGGTTGGCAAACCCGAAATTTAACGACCTTGCAGCAGAATGTAACGAGAAGTTGCGTAGGAGACGGTAGTATCATTTGGCTGTCAAGTGTGTTTAAATCGAGAACAAATTCGTGGTAATTTTTTTTTGTTTTTCGTTTTTTTCCGTATCAGAAAGTTTTTTTTCCGTTAAATTTAACTGTGTAGTTTTGTGTAGCAAAATGATAGACGACGAAGCGAATGATGACGGTCCATTTCCGGGCGATTTAAACACTAAATTCGCGCTTCGTCTACGCGGTCGAAAGGGAGCTTTGAAAAAAAAAAATGTTTATAATGTAAAGGATCACAAATTTATACCAAGATTTTTTAAACAACCAACATTTTGCAGTCACTGCAAAGATTTTATTTGGTGAGTTGAAATTATTTATATATTTCAGCCATCTACACACACACATTGATTATTTCTCTTTAAATCAAACATGGTTTACTGGGTCACCCTATTTTAAGTCAAAAAAATATCAATGAAAACTCTTAAAATGTCTATAAAAATCCATAAAATATGATTATTTATTTAAATGTAATTTTTAAAATTTTATAATTACATTTGAAAAAGGAATTTTGTTACTTATTTTGTAGACAGAAAAAAAAATTTAAGTTGTCCCATATAATTTTCTAATGAATTTTTATGGTTTCCTTTAATGGTAGCCTTATATATATATAACATATACCCTTAATTTTTTTGTTTTTTTTTTTTTTCTTAATTTTTTAAACATATTGATTATTTTCTATCTATTTCTATTCCAATATATATTATTTCAATACTTGACATTGTAATAAGATTAAAGATTTTATTATTATTAAAAAAAAAAGGAGAATTAGGTTGCAAATTTTCATTTTTTTTTTGATTTTGTCTCTCTTTTAATTCGGCAAGTCTTGATGTTATAATTCACATAATATTTAAATAAAAATTTTATTAATTTCCAATATAATTGTCCTTGAATACTTGATTGTAAATTTTTTTCTATGCTTATATATAAAATGTATTTTGCTTCAATTATTTATTTAAATGATCAAAAAAGGTTTTTTTTTAATATTCTTTTCAAAATCTCTTTGGTTTTTATATTTACATGAGGAAAAAGAAAAAAATTTTTTTTTGAATCTTTGACTTGGCATTTAAAACAAAAAAAAAAAAAAAAAGAAGTAAACTCATTATTTGAATTAATGACATTTACTTTATATCATTATTATCATCATTGTTTATATTTATTTTATTCAAAACAAATAATTTATTTTTATTTAATATATATTTATTTTATTATTTCAAAAACATTATTTATAAAATAAATATCATTTTCTATTTTTTTATTTTTGAATATATAAATAATGATAATATTTTATCATTATCATCATCATTTTTAAGTCATTTTAAATTTAATTGCTCTGATGTTGCCAATTTTTTTTGTTTTTATTTTTTTCACTGGGGGGGGAGGGAAAATATATTATTAAAATTTAATAAATATTAACAAATTTTTTTTATTAACTTTGAAGAAAAAAAAAGAAAGTTTATTATTATTATTATTATTATTAAAACTTACCTAATGAAGAATTTACAATTTCTTCATTAAGTATTAAATAATAATTTTAGTATTGTTTGTTTATTATTTTGTTTTGGGAAGTAGAAAGAAATTTTACTCTTACTTACACTTTAACAAAATTGATAATAATAAATTTTTTTTTTATTTAAATTTTCTTAATTTAATTTATCATAAATATTTTATTATAATTTAATAATAAAAGTTTTTCTCTACTTTAGTTTATCGTTTACGTGAGAAAATTTATTACGTAACGTGTAATTCACGCGAGTAATTTACGGGCTTCGTAATATATATATATAACTCAAGCGTAAAAAATTACAGGTTCGCACTTGAATTTGAATACCGTAAACTAAAATAAATATATATACAAGTGTGTATATTTATAACTTATTAATATTTAATCAAACGTGAGAAACAAGGACTCGTTAATAAAATAATAATAATAATAATTATAATAATAATAATAAATAAGAATCGAGAGAGGTGGATTCATAATAAATAATAATTATTATTATATATATAAAGTTTTTGATTTATTATTTTTCAATTGGAAAACAATCGGAAAATGATTTATAATCAATTAATAATTAATTTGTTTTTATTTCAATTTACGTTTCAATATAAAATAATGATGATGATGATAATAATAATTAAGTAATATCTCCCTATCATCGATGTTACGTTTTCTCGTTATTCATTCAAATGGGATTATTATTATTATTATTTTTTTTTTTTTATTAATATCTTTTTTTATTTAGTTTGCGTTTTTTTTTTGTAGTAACATTATTTTTTTTTTCATTATTTAAATAAGTATTAACTACGATTTGAACTAATTTAAAAAAAAAAAAAAAAAAAAAAAAAAAAGGAAATCGATAAAATAAAACTGATACGTGCGGTTAAACGAATTAGGAAATTAATTATTATTGTCGTCTATTTTTTTTTTCGGTCAAATCAATACGATGGAGCCATTTTGTTTTTTTTTTTATAAATATTTTTAATCTTCTCAAAAAACAAAAAAATTATCATTATTATAATTTTTTAAAAAATATTCAATATATACGAATATAAATAAACTGGCGCTAGTCTTTCTAACATCTAACGTTGCTAAAAATGTATATATAAATAATAATAATAATAATAATAATAATAATGCTAGTAGTAGTAAAAAAAAAAAAATCAAAGTGAATTTATTTTTGGATTACAGGCCGTCGTCAATAAATAAATGTTGGGTTCGAAAAAACAAAATAAAAATATTATTAATATTAGAAGGGAGAAAACAAATAAAAATTATAAAAGCGACGA